TGATCTTTAAGGTCCCTTCCGACCCAAACCACTCTATGATTCTATGACCTTTAAAGGTCCTTTCCGACCCAAACTATTCTATGGTTCTAATTACTGTCCTGACAACTCTTCTTTCTGTTGGATGTTTTCAGTCTCCTTGTGATGCAGCTTTGGCCTAGCTGTTGAACCTGTTTGCATCTGAATTAATCTTGCTTGAAGAACTGAATGGCTTAGTGAATAATAAGGGGATAAAAGCATTTCTTTTCTATATCACTAGTTAAGTCCCTTAAAGCTCTAAGTAACTTAGGTAGCAACAGATTCAGGCCAAATGATCTACCCGTTATTTCATGAACACTGAAAAGCACAGGAAGTGTGTTACAATTCCTTGTTTGGGTGTTGGGGTTGTTTTACCAATCAAACCAACAAGATGCCAAATAGCGATTAAGTGTAGAATGTCACTTCCCATATTCTGCTTTCCAGCAGGGAACATTGAATGTGAAGCTACTTTTAGCATTGCACGCATTGACAGGGGATAGACAATCTACCTGTAATCATTGTAACGTTAGATTTACCTGTCTAAATGTTCTTTTAGAGTTATACATTATTACAATTAGTTAAAAAACTTTAAAAGTCTGGTAAATATGTATTGCTTATTAATGTTAAATGTTGATTTTTCAGGTAGTTGTTGAATTGGAAAAAGTGGATTTAGCTGGTTCACAAACTGATTTAGGTGAGTACTGTACATTAGAGGTAAAGTGCTTAAGTTTTGAGATTATGAAGTTAGAAGAGAGGGGAAGAGTCAGCGATGACAAAAAATAGTTTAGAAGAAGGCAAAATTACTGAGGAAGAGATTTTTTCTCAATAAGACTTATATCTAATATTTGGCACTATTAGTTAGGTATCATGAGACTTATTTTCACTGCTACCTGAATCTCATCTGCTAATTCTGTATTGGCGATTGCCACCTCATATGACCACATTTCTTATAATGTCAAAGCAGATTTCTGTGTCCTCAACAGCTTTTTTCCAAAGAATATGAGATCTTATGTCCCTCATAGTCATCCTGTTCTTTCTTGAGTTTTAACCAAATCTGTTATATGCTTTCATTGTTGCTTGTATCTGCATTTTGATAATTGTCCTGAAAGTTCTCTTTTGGGTGAGGTACTTAATTTAGCGTGAGGAAAAAAGTTTCCATGAAAAAAGTAAAGAATAAAGTCCATTCAGCCCTTTTTGAGTTACCTGAATACAGAAAATTATGGGTTTTGTTCTTTGAATAAATTTAGATTTACATACTTACCTAACTGGAAAAGGCTGTGATTAAATTTTAATTTTACTTTTACATGTATTTTAGTTTTACATTACAACTGATACATTTTAAAATACATATATGAACAACCAAGTAATGCTAACAAACTAGAATTTTCTAATTTATAAGCTCGTGTGCAATGTCTGGCTATATTAAGCTGCTAAAGCTGGATATCATATCAGCAGAGAGGTACATTTTAAAGTTATGGTTGCTTGTTGACACAGTTTTACGGCTGCCAGCATTCATTTCTTTCCTCTTCAAAAAAATACTTGTGTTTGAAGGATTTCAATTATTTATGCTATTCTCTACTAACAAGTCACGTAGACCACCTTTATGGAAGCATTATTACAGTCTCTCATGGTTATAATTCATTGTCAAAGACCAAAGTGACATAAATGTACATTTTCACCATTAATGGAATTGGGTTTTATAGAGTGATATTGCATGATGTTACATGCATACCATAAAACTAAAACACATAATTGTGCTTCCCTTTCTCTGTCCTCCTTTTATTTTTGGATTTCTGATAGATTACAACTCTTCAGATTTGAATTCTGAAGTAAATAGTTCTAAATGATGTAAGATTCTTACATATTAAAAGCTATATCTACAATAAACAATTCTGAAGTATCCTTTTTTTTTATTAGCTTAGATTTTAATTTGATGATAGTGCTTTCTTAATGCAGAATGCTTAAATCAGTTTAAACAATTATTTTACGTAATTTCAGGTTTAGTTCCTGGAGGGAAAGTGAAGTTAGTACATAGTTCTACTATGGAATTGAGTAACAGGTAAGAAAACAGGGGCACTTAGATTTTACATGTGTATCTCACAAAGCTAATTTTTCCTATACTTTATTAAATTACTGTTAAATATTTAACAACATTTTCATTAGTTGTTTGTTGTTTTTTTTTTAATACACACTTTTCCTAGAGCGATTCATAGATATTTTAAATCAAGATTTCTTTATGTACTTGCATCACTTTAGGAGACAACTTCCTGTATTTATGTCATTTTCTACCTTTCTGTTTTTCCTAGCCTTTTCCCAAAGGATGTCCGCCAGAGAATGCCCCAAACATTGACTATTAAATTTCTTTCTTCTAATCCTAATCATTTCATTGTCGGAACAAACATTGTGAGTAATATGGTAAAATTCATTTCATTGTTTTTTGGTTTTGGAAGCTGCCCCATTTACTTGGAATTTTAGCAGTAGATTGTATATAAAATTTATAATTTGAGACTTTTGTTAAAATCTGTTAGCTATTAAAATTTCTAAGCTGTTAAGGATCTTTTTAAGGTAACAACTCTGTGAATTATTTAACTTTTTTTTATAATACTGTAATGCAAGTTTGTTTAATTTTCTTTTGTTTAATTAATTTTCTTTATATTGTTCATAGGGTCTGGTAGGCCATGGTACAAGACATGATTTAAGAGTTGTTCCGAAGCTATTCAGACCCCGGGAGAGCGGACTAAGATCAATAGGCGTCAATGCAATTGATTTCTCCCCTTTTGGAAAGCCACTGTTTTTGGTATGAAAACATTTTAATACAAGTTTCATTTTTTAATTTCTTACTGAGGGAATATTTCTAATTTGACATATTTAACTAGATGTGATAGTTGATTTACCTCACTAATTCTGACATGCCACAAAGGGTGGCAACAAATCTTGTGTCCTGGTTGTTAGGACTTTGCTTATGTGAAAGGTGGAGCATCTGGCTCACAGAAACAAATGGCAATTTCACTTCAGCTGTTATCTTTATAACTTAGTCTTTGTTTTTACTGAAATTCAGCGTTGCTAGCGGGTCTTCTGCTGTGAATGAAGCCTCAACTGTTTCTCACTCTTACCGTGCATATCTCAGTGATAGAATCATTTTGGAGACAAGATCCCTGTATCGCTGTGTAAAGAAAGGTCTGTGGGGCAGCTCTGGGCATTTCTGCCTTCCTTTCCTCTCCACATGGCGGCTTTGCAGTAGCCTGCTGACAGCCCCTCAGGGTATGCCTGGAGGGAACACGTCCCTCTGATCTGTGGTCAGGTGTGTTCAACTCTGACCTCAGCACTTCGTATCGACTCACCCACTGTTTTTACTTGTCTCTCTTTTGAAAGTTTATTCAAAGTGAGTTGAATCTAACTCTGGTAGGATTTTCTGCCTGCTTATCCCTGCATATATTTGTACTTGATCCTCTCTTAAAAAAGGCTTTATTGCTAAATTTGCCATGATTTAGAAGATTTCATTGAGATTGCCCAAGGTACAAAATGAATCGTGTTTGGCTACAGTGTACATATTTTGTGTTACCATTGCACAGTCAGAACTTTCTTTTACCGGTGTGGATGTTCTTACCTTTTTCCTGAATTCATTTATTTAGAGTGATACTGATTTCTACAAGTTGGTATCTGCAGAGTCCTTTTGAATGTAAGCACAGTGTCAGCACAATTCACAGAGTCACTGTAAAAAGTCATCATAATTTGAAAATTCTAGGAAGTCTTCCTAATGTATAGATGGCCCAGGGTAATAAGTTATTTTCTGTTTTCATAGAATAGTTTCTTTTGTACCTGGATCAGAGCAAACTTGTAAATGTTATACTAGGCAAGACAAAGGTTTTAACGAAATACCTGGAAGCAGTGACATCTGCCTGTCTTTGATTTAGCTGTTCATTATGAATCAGTTTAATATCATTATACTGTTAAGCACAGCCCGTCCTACTGAAAGCTGTTCTGGGTTTTAGAGGTGACATGTGTCACTAAGTAGCTGTCTGAATTGGTCTCCAGGCTCTGACCTCGCCCCGATTCAGCCTACTGTCAAGTTGTGCTGGATCATAGTATTAGTGAAGGTGATAGTTTGAGCACTTTTTTTAAAATAGGAAATTGGGACTTCATCCTAGGATTAGTGCTTTAGATCACTTTAGTATGGTTAGTACAGAGTTACTACTTTGGAACTAGAATTTACATTGAAAGTTCAAATCTAGATACTCCATAGACTGAGATATGAGAGATATGCACCACTTGAGTCAGATAACTAGTTTTATTTATATCCCTGATATTCTCAAGAATTGGACTGCAATTTTTATCCTGCTTAGTTTGTTTTGTTCCCAGGAAGTATGTTCTTTTTGACTGTGATATAGGTTGGCTGTTCAGATGGAAGTATTAGGTTACACCAAATGACTTCGGAGTATCCCCTCATGCAGTGGAATGACAGCACAAATGGCCAGCCAATTATTGCCGTGCAGTGGGCTTTAACAAGACTCGCTGTGTTTTTTGTCCTGGATGCATCATCTAATGTTTACATTTGGGATCTTCTGGAAAATGATTTGTTGCCTGTGGCAAAGCAGACTGTTCCATCAGAGAAGTAAGTAAGAATTTCCTTTTCTAACTGTATTTTTTTAACTGTTGGGGATGTGGAAAGAGACTATAATAAGCTAAACTTTAGTTTATCCTTATTTATTTATTATTTTACACAGTCTGAAAAGGAGAAATACTGTTAGTATAAATCAAAATCAGGTACAGCGTTATCAGTTGGGACAGGTGTCTGTGCATGGAGCAGTTGCTGTTTATATGACGAGAAGAATTTTGTTCCCACTAAAATCACTGGGCTGCTTAAGTTCAAGCTTTTCTGGATCATGATCAACTCCTAAAATAGGCAAGATATGTTGGGCAGCATTTTTAAATGCCTATATATAGTATGGTTACCAATATAAAGAAATATATTGTGTTCATTGTCAGAAAGTAAATAAGAATATTTTTGGACTAGCCCATGTTCACCAAGACTTACAATACTATTCCTGTAGTCAGTGTAGAGATCTGGATGTCCTGTAGATTGATGCAGAAAAGGAGTTTAATTTGGCCTTTCTGAATTACAGTCTTGAGAATTCCCTTTCCTCCCTGATAGGAGCTCTACTGGGAGACTCTGTCTTCCCTAGGCTTAAGTTAGTCTTGGTGAATATCCCTCTAACAAAAAGTTTTCCTTGTAGCCTTGTGAACTATAGCAAAGTGCAGCTAGTCTGGGGAGAAAATAGTATAATTTTAAAAGTTCTTACACTGTACTGGAAAATACCACAAAACATAGTTCATTTTTTGCAAGCTTGAAAAAATTTTTAAGTCAGGATTAGCAATTGATGATGGGATCTGTGAACAGGGGAAGAATTGCCTGTTACATTTGCATTAAATGATTGCAACTGGTGAAAAGCTAAAGAACATGCTGGGACTTGAATAGTGAGGAATACTGGACTGTGATGAGAAGAAAAAAGAAATCATTTAGTTAATTACAAGTAACCTGCTAAAAACACGTTTGAAAACACCAATTTCTATTCATTTTGTTTCAATTAAAAAACATTCCCCTGATCTTTTGATTTCAGTGTTGTAACTATGGCTTTACTGGGAGAACCAGAAAAAACAAATGGATTGTTAGGAATTGCGCTGGCTAAAGAATCTGGACAGATAGACATTCAGTATGTAAAGAAGAAGTGGGCATTACCTCAGCCTGAGGAATCTGAAAAATTTCATTTGCTTTTATTGCAGTCTGTTTAGAAATGGTACACCTCTCTGGATGTATTCATTATTGCAAAATATTTAGATTATTTTTGTCTGCAATTAAAAGATTTATAATGTAATTTTATATTTGTATATAGCTTGTATATATTTTAAAGAATATAAATGCAATATTTTGGCTAAAATTATGTATTTTATCATAAAAATGACAGAACAAAATTTAGCTTTATTGTACTCACAAAAAAGGTGAACTGTATTTCATTATTGAAAGTACTCTAGATGTATATATTTAAAAAAAAAACAAAACTAAAATATATTCCTGTAAATTATGCTGCTGTTTCTCATTATTCTGCTCTGAAGTAAATGATAGCAATCTTTTGTCTGGTGAGCATAAATTTGTGTCTCTGTATAAGCAACCTGAATGTATGGAGATTTCTACCTCTAGACCTTTTACACGCTAACACTGGGTAAAAATGTCTTATACATACCTAAAAAACATCATGCAAGCATACCAGAATACAAATTTACATCCCATGATAACTTCTGCTTTTGAGCCTGAAACTTTGCAAAAAGGAATACCTGACTAACTGGAGTTGTCCTGTTATGTGCAGTACCTGTTTGGATCAAATGATGTAACCAATATGCTTGTGAGATTTACTGAAGTTGTAAATCCTTTGGGATTTCTAATGTAAACCAGATAATACTGGCCTGTTTAACACTGCAAATAATTCTCAAAGCTCTTGTAGTGAGGAAAAGGATAGTGGTCTATATTATTGTTATAATTTTTGTATACTATTGGTAAAGTTTGGACCAAGACCAAGTACTGAAAATGTCTTTAACTTTTGTAGCCTAGCAACTTCTGATTTATAGGTTGTGAATAAAACCATTGTTAAATGAATACGGATTTGGGGGAAAAAAGAACAATTGGAAAACAATATGTTAAGAATTTAGTGAACGTATATTTAAGATATGTACCATCTCCTTCTAAAAATAGACTGAAATAAGTTGTAAATGCTAATTAATTCATTGCAAACATTATTCTATGTAAATTGTTACTTAAGTTGAGCAAACTGGATGTGGCCACATGATGGTGCCAAGTCACAGCAGTAAAAAATGAGTGTATCTACAAACAACATACACCACTTGGGGAATGAAGCTGCTGTAGTCCATTGCGCATTCCTCTTTCCTCAAAAACAGTGACTGCAATCCAGCGAGCCCGATGAACTGTCTGGGAGATACGTATTTCAGAGAACATTTTCACTCTCCTAGTTCCCTGGTCAGCCATAGATTATTTAGATTTTTTTTTTAATGTACATAAACCCTAATTACTCTTCTCATCTTGTTGGGTTTATATGGTAATAATATACAGTACAAGTTAAATTAGAATAGCTTTAGTAATCCAGATAAAGAAGAAACGGCAGGTACTTTTCACAGTAAGGTAGCAGAGCTTCGCTACTGGGACCCTTAGTAAAAAACCAAACCCAAACGTCTCACTCCTTCCCTCTCAAAGGAGAGACACATGCTTCACCACTCCCTCTCCCCAATGTAAAAGCAAAATTAATCTTTGAAATTATAGTAGCTTTCTGAAAGAAATCTCTTATTATAATTTCATCACTTTCAGGACTTAGCATCCTGAATTTCCTTACTGCACCTACTTCTGTACATGGAAACTGTCAACAAAGGGTTGAGTTTCTTCTACCTGGTGCTGTGTGCAGTGGGGGGCGGGGGGTGGGGTCCAATCTGTAGAAAGAAAAAAAATAGTGTCAACCACACAGTGGTACCTGTGGCTACTTCTGAGCTGCTGTTGATAGGTACGCTTGAATTCAAAGATCCAAATATTTTAGGCCAGTTTTACTGCCTGGAGAGCTGAGTGTGAGTCAGTTCCTGCACTGGGCCTATGTTTCTTGCCTAAAAGATGAGTTTCTCGGAACTGCAAACTAATGCAATAATACAAATGTACCCTGGGCTGACAGTTGATGTTACAAGAATGTGAGGAAAAGATGTGTAGAAGTTGCTGCTGCTTTGCATGTTCTCTTACTGGGTAAATGCAGACCATTAGAGTGATGCTCCATGTAATCTTTGCAGTTGGACATACTGATGTAAACATTTTTGAGCACATATATGATGAGAGAAGTGGGAAGTGTTGGTAGACTGCAATACAGGGAAAACATTCCACGTATAAGGACTTGCAAAATTATTTCAAGCAAAATATTTCCATCAGCTACCTCTAATGATTGTCAAGTTAATATTGTTAACATAAGGTACTGGATTTTACGCGTGTTCCATCGGAAAGCAACAAGATTAATTAAAGATGAGACCCTGTACATGAAAGAAGAAGGTTCACTGTTACTCCAAAGTATTTTCATATCCATATCATTTTTACCAGTAGTTCTGATATGCGTGCATATGCACACACATTTTATTGAATGGGCTTTATATAGGACGTAAACACTGCGATCATGAAACATTTAAAATAGCCCCAAAAAATATATTTTTTCCCACCTGTAGCAAATTTTGGAATATGTATTCTTAACAGTATGAACTGTTGTTAAAATGAACTGACCCATATAAAAGAGACTTACGATTCAAATGATATAAAAGTTAAATCACTATCCACCCATATTAATAACTTCTGTAAAATATAACCTGTTGGCTCTTAAGCCAACAAATCCTGGCAGCAAGGATGAAAAATTCTAAATATGCAAAATGCCAGAAAGTTTTGGATCAACTTCTGTTTTATTTTCCACTTCATGAATGTGCTTTGAAAGCCTTTTTGATTTAGAACATAAATATTAATATTGTTTTCATTGGATTTTGTCATCTCACAGATGGGAAAATGAAGTTTTCAGTAGCTGAATAATAAGTTAACTGAGGAACAGAATTCTTGAATCAGATGGCTGATTTCTTACAACTGTTTAGAAATGCTTTTATTAACCTGTCAGCCTATATTTGCAGCAGAGCTTGGGAGAACAGGAATAGCATGATTCTTCTTTTGTACTAGAACATTTCTTCTTAATTGTACAGAAGGTGACCATCCTACCCAATGCAATTTTGCCTTAATTAATCATAGCTGTCATTTAGTTAAAACATGTTGACGGATATAGGAGCATTGTAGCTTTCATAGCTACGAGGGAATATTTTACTAGCTGGAATATTTTTAGCAGAACACAGTTAAAACATAAAAAATAGTTCTTCCTTTTTAAAGGCAGATTTTTTTTTCCTGATGGACTTGGAAAGTCTATCTAGGTTTGTTCTAGGTGTAGAAATTGGCTGGACTACAGCAAATACTAACGTGTCATTGAATGCCACACAGCTGGAACAGGCCTGTTTGTAAGTCACTTAGGAAGTAACTGGAACTTGGACATCAGCGGCATATGAGGTGGTATGCAAACCAGGAAAAGTTACGAAGATACTGGGACAGGAAAATGGCTAACGAGCCAGATTTTCATTGCAAGCTTAATTTCCAATCAGGCTTATCAGGAGTCTATAAACAAATGTGTTTCTGAGCCTCCTCGGCTGTGAGAAGGAAGACAGCAATTCCATTTACGGCTCCCCTTAAAATAGATCGGCTAACTTCTCTTTTACCAGCAGTTCCTGAAGGTTTTGGGAAGTATATCAACAGAAAGTCTTTTACCCTAATTCTTGATGTAGGCCTCTTCTTGCATTATTCAAACTGCTATAGGAGGGCCTGCGTCTTGATGTTCCAACGTAGGAACTGGTGATTGAGGTGCCGTTCGGTGAGAACTGAGTAGCATGTGGAATTACTTATCCTTTTCTTTTTTCAATGCTACATGAAATATCCCACTGGAGCTATTTAAGTATGGATTATATTTCAGGTTGTTTTATTACTCAGAGCTTGTTAGCAAGACTGCAGGGTTTCCCTGCTCGCCTCTCATGTGCTCGTTATTGGCATGAAAGGTGGAGAAGAGCTGTGGGCCACCCACTCCTGGAGGCTGGACATTCTTCAGGCTGTTCTGAAATAAATAGAATAAATAGGATACCTGCTTGCTGCTCTGGGGAGATACTCCTCACTCAAGCCTTCCAGTTACCAACCACGTCATCTTTACGAAGGGAAAGAAAAATACGTTGTCGGTGTCTGATGCTTCAGCAATTGCAGTGCAGTTCGCAGCATTTGCCATTCTTTAAGCTGTTAAAACCAAAGCAAAGTTCACTTGACACAGTAATGGTTACATCCCACAGGACAGTACGGGCGGAGATAGAGTGACAACAAACCAAGCCAAGCAAGACAATCATATCAATTACCAAAATTACACTTCTGATTATATTTTGCAAAAACTTAGCATGAAAGGGGAAGTATTTACATATACTCTTAGTGGTAAAAATAATATTTTTTAATTTAGATCAGCCATGCCCAGCATTAACTACTACTTAAAGAAGTCAGCAAATGCAGTTATGCCAATAGCTGCTGACTATGGCTGGGAGGAAGGAGATCCTTCCTTCCCTCCTTGCAGTATTTTCCACAGCCTTGCCCTACAACCGCAGTGCTTCATTCAGCCTTTCCTTTTTATGTTCGGCAGCCACTGGTCCCAAGCCCACTATACTGGGGATGAAAAGACGTCCCTTAACTGGATCACCGGAGATCTGGAATGGTTTAAAGTGTTTTGATAGCTGGCACTAGAAGCTGGAGATTTTTACCCCCACAGCAGATACTGCGCTGGCAGTGGCAATGCAGACTTTGTGTCTGACAGCGTGCAATAGCGACCCAGTCCATAATGCAATAATTTCTTTATACCTCATGGACCAGATTGAAGTCAACCAACATCGATGGAAATGTTTTGATAATATATCTTACGTTTCTCCTATATAGGCTGTGAAAAGTAACAGAAAGTAAATTTCTCACTGCAGGTCTTTATTTTTCCTGTATTTACATACATGTATTTATCGGCACTGATCATCCCCCTGCTCCTTCCCCAACACACATTCTTTTTTTCTCAGTTTGTTTTCAAAAACTATATTATTTTTGCTCGGATGGTCAACATTAATATCGGTTTGATGCCAACAACTGCCACTTGAGAGGTAAAAGCGCTCGATCTATTTTCAATAGTTCAAGGTGGTTTAGGTGGAAAAAATTCTCTGAATAAGTGCTGAAGCAAGTAATCTGTAAATCCAGTAAAATGCTCAGAATTAATTGAATGGCACACAATGAGGAAAATTCAGGTGAGTGTGAGATCAATTTCC